TGTTGTTGTTTGCCGTCGAGTCGGCCCCAACTCATAGCGACCCCTCCTTGGGTTTCCGAGGCAGTATCACTACGGAAGTAGGATTGCCCAACCTTCCTTTCGAGGAGTGGCTGGTGGGTTTGAACCGCCAGCCTTCTGGTGAGCAGTCAAGTGCCTTAGGCACTATGCTACCAGAGCTCCTGGTGAAAAGGTACATGCTTCCTTTCTCATCCCTCCCAAGAACATGCTTGTAGTTACTTTAATGCACTGTGTTCTACTCTGGGCTTTTCCTCCTCTCCTGCCACTCAAATTCTCCTAATTAATAACTACTCCTTTCCTGAGAAGCCTTCTCTGATCCCTCAAGGCCACACTGGGTACCCTAACACCATCTCTTATGGTCACTCTATCAAATCACATAAGCACTATAACCACCTGTGTAGTTGTCGGTTCCCATTCACTGGGGTCTAGTGGCTACAACTTATTTCACTGAATGTGTGAATGAATGAACATTAATTGCTAATGTACAAAGATGAAGCAAGAATTTCTGTAACTTAAGCACATTACTTCTTAGGCCAAGGAGTTTATTGGAAATTTTAGATGAAAGAAAGGTCCTGTGTAGGTAGTCTTCAATATCATTTAATACTTGAAAACAAACAAATAAACCTCTCTTACAATTCCTTTTGGAAGGAATGAAAAATTCAGTGAGATACAATATGCTGCGTCATGTATTTGTTGTATCTCTGTCCCACACCATTAGGCTCTGCATAAACCATTAAAAGCCTTTTGGCAGCAAGACAATCTTAAAATACCTTAGAGTTAGAAGATAACTGACAATGTGTCTTGGCTGAAGGTCCTGAGAAGACCTATAAAGCACCTCGTCGAACCTGAAAGAAAGATGACAAGAATAGTTGGCAGTGGAAGACTATCCCTGTTACACTCGGATGTAAATATTTTAGATGTAAGGTTGACTTGACATCATTAAAAGACAACATAAGAAAATGCCTTGTGTACATCTGAAGGCAAAGGCACTTTTTCCCACAAATTCCTTGATGGCAGGGGCTTTCGAAATCGTCCCAGTATCCCTGAGGACTAGCCTTGAGCAAGGACTCCAGTCCTGGTTGTTAAATTGAATGTAAAAAGCCTCTGGCTGTGTTTGGCAACACGATCTACAAACCAGCAAACAAAAC